ACTGAAAATAGTCTCAACTGTGATATTTACATATGAATAAGCCAAGACTCGTTCTCCCCCAAAAAATGTCAGCACGTCGCTAGAGTGTTCGGGTTTCGCATGAAGAAAAGGTGGCGACCCTAATAGAACTGCAAGCGGGATTTGTGACACTTCATCACCATGACGATGCGGACTGACAAGTGGGTGACACCGGGGCCTGTCCGCCATCCATCCGCCGCTCTCATTATTGTCACACAGACACCTGACAGCGCTAATCAGGACAAATGAACCGGGAAGAGTCCCTCCGCTAACTCCCCACCGCCCCGGTCACATGACAGAGGAACCCGCCAACTCCCCACCGCCCCGGTCACATGACAGAGGAACCCGCCAACTCCCCACCGCCCCGGTCACATGACAGAGGAACCCGCCAACTCCCCACCGCCCCGGTCACATGACAGAGGAACCCGCCAACTCCCCACCGCCCCGGTCACATGACAGAGGAACCCGCCAACTCCCCACCGCCCCGGTCACATGACAGAGGAACCCGCCAACTCCCCACCGCCCCGGTCACATGACAGAGGAACCCGCCAACTCCCCACCGCCCCGGTCACATGACAGAGGAACCCGCCAACTCCCCACCGCCCCGGTCACATGACAGAGGAACCCGCCAACTCCCCACCGCCCCGGTCACATGACAGAGGAACCCGCCAACTCCCCACCGCCCCGGTCACATGACAGAGGAACCCGCCAACTCCCCACCGCCCCGGTCACATGACAGAGGAACCCGCCAACTCCCCACCGCCCCGGTCACATGACAGAGGAACCCGCCAACTCCCCACCGCCCCGGTCACATGACAGAGGAACCCGCCAACTCCCCACCGCCCCGGTCACATGACAGAGGAACCCGCCAACTCCCCACCGCCCCGGTCACATGACAGAGGAACCCGCCAACTCCCCACCGCCCCGGTCACATGACAGAGGAACCCGCCAACTCCCCACCGCCCCGGTCACATGACAGAGGAACCCGCCAACTCCCCACCGCCCCGGTCACATGACAGAGGAACCCGCCAACTCCCCACCGCCCCGGTCACATGACAGAGGAACCCGCCAACTCCCCACCGCCCCGGTCACATGACAGAGGAACCCGCCAACTCCCCACCGCCCCGGTCACATGACAGAGGAACCCGCCAACTCCCCACCGCCCCGGTCACATGACAGAGGAACCCGCCAACTCCCCACCGCCCCGGTCACATGACAGAGGAACCCGCCAACTCCCCACCGCCCCGGTCACATGACAGAGGAACCCGCCAACTCCCCACCGCCCCGGTCACATGACAGAGGAACCCGCCAACTCCCCACCGCCCCGGTCACATGACAGAGGAACCCGCCAACTCCCCACCGCCCCGGTCACATGACAGAGGAACCCGCCAACTCCCCACCGCCCCGGTCACATGACAGAGGAACCCGCCAACTCCCCACCGCCCCGGTCACATGACAGAGGAACCCGCCAACTCCCCACCGCCCCGGTCACATGACAGAGGAACCCGCCAACTCCCCACCGCCCCGGTCACATGACAGAGGAACCCGCCAACTCCCCACCGCCCCGGTCACATGACAGAGGAACCCGCCAACTCCCCACCGCCCCGGTCACATGACAGAGGAACCCGCTAACTCCCCCACCGCCGCGGTCACATGACAGAGGAACCCGCTAACTCCCCCACCGCCCCGGTCACATGACAGAGGAACCCGCTAACTCCCCCACCGCCGCGGTCACATGACAGAGGAACCCGCTAACTCCCCCACCGCCCCGGTCACAT